AGTTTTAGAATCAAATAAAAAAATACTTATAAAAATTATGTTTTCAAATGAACTTTAGAAAAAATATTTTTGAAAAATTGACCAAAAAAACGTGGACAAAATATTTTTCCCTCCAATATTTTCTTTTTAACAAAATTTTGCAACACCCGTATGACTAAAAAAATTGATGATTATGTTAAAGTATTAATTGAAGATGATTTAAAGACTGAGATGAGTCAAAGAGAAATTGCAATTAAAAGAGGTGTAAGTAAATCTTTTGTTAATAAAATAAATATTAAATTACAAAAGAATATATCTTTAGGTCGAAAATATGGTTCTGGTAGAAAATAATTATTAAAAGATAAGTTAAAAAGAGAGTTGTTTTTGATTTATGATAAAAATCATAAAGAATCTTGTGTAAAGATTACACAATAATTTGTAGATAAATTTAAAATTAATGTTTCAAGGCAAACTGTGTCAAGAATATTAACTCAATTTGGACTTGTAACAGCAAAACCAGCAAAAAAGCCACTTCTGAGACCTGTTAACATAAAAAAAGACTTTTATTATCAGAAAATTTTTTAGGTATATCAAATGAGACCCTAAAGACAATAATTTTTACTGATGAATGCAAATTTAATTTCTTTAACAGTGATGGAATTAAGTATATCAGGTATTTTTTAGGAGATCGTTACAAACTTGAAAATACGATTCCAACTGTGAAACATGGTGGAGGATCAATAATGGTTTGAGTTGTATATCATACAGTGGTGTTGGTAGAATTGTTTTTATTGAAAAAACTATGACAGTTGCAGTGTATAAGCAATTTTTAGCCAATAAAATAAGACAATCTGCTCGTGAAATGGGTCTTGAGGAATTTATCTTAATACAAGATAATGATCCTAAGCATACCTCAAGACTTGTTTCCAACTGGTTAGATAAAAAAGACATTCATGTTTTAAATTGGTTACCACGGAGTTCAATTTAAATTCTATTGAGACAGTCTGGGCTCTTATAAAGTACAAATTGGCTCAATTTGGTAAATTTAAAAAAGATGAGTTAAAAGAAAAAATAAAAGAAATTTGGTATAATATACCAGTTAGCTTGATATAGAAGTATGTTGATAGTTTTCAAAAGAGGTGTATAAAGCAAAAGGTTATAACATTAAATATTAAATTTATTAATGGTCACGTTTTTTTGGACAATTTTTTTAAAAATTTTTGTAAAGATTTTCTTTTTGCATAAAATTTATTGTTATTTTTTGAAATTAACAGTGTTTATTATTAAAATATATGCTGTTTTTGAAAAAATTTAATTTGATACTGTAAAACAATATGTTTTTAAAAAATTTTAATGGTCACGTTTTTTTAAGCAATACTGTATCTTTAAATTACTTTAGTTAAGGTATAGTTTTAAATAAAAAAATTCTTGCATCTATTATAAAATTAACTTTAAAAAATGTTTTAAAAACTTAATAATATGGGAAAGAATGCACCAAAAAAGATTTTATTAATAAAGTATCTAAAGGGCTTGAAGAAATATATGAAAGTAACTAATATGAAACTGAAGAGAAGATTAGATGTTTTGATTCAATAATCAATACCTCAATACAAACTAATAATGCAAATGATTTTTTTTATCATTTATATAAGATTGAAAACTTTTCTCACAAACTTCCAATTAAAATAAAAGAGTTTTTGTTTAAATATTAAGTAAAACTAATCTCATTTTATGTAAATAGAGATAAAAAAATGTAAAATTATTAATAAATTTTAAATCCCACTGAATCTGTTGAAAAAGAGATCATTTTAAAATAAATTGGGCTTCATTTTTTTCAAGTTCTTTTTATCTTTGTAAAACTTAAAAAATGTGATTATACAATTGATTACCATAATTATTTAAATGGTTATAAGG